TTAGTGAAGCACTAGTTCCAAGATAAGCTCCATTTTTTATTGTTATTGTTGTTATTTTGTTTCTGCGACAGGGTTTCGCTGTGTCACCCAGGCTAGAGTGCAGTGGTATGATCATAGCTCACTACAGCCTCAAATTCCTGGGCTCAGGCAACCCTCCCACCTCAGCCTCCCGAGTAGCTGGGACTACAGGCACATGCTACCATGCCCAGCTAATTTTATTTTTTTGTAGAAAGAGGATCTCATGATGTTGCCTAGTCTTAAGCATGCCTCTCACCTCAACCAGGTGTGAGCCACCATGTTCAGCCACCTTTTTTTACAAAAATAAAAATAAAAAAAGGAAGGTGGAGAGGAGGAAATTCCATGGTGAGAGGCTGGGAAATCTTATATAGTATGCATCTAACTTCAAGATTTGAAACATACATTAGCCTATTATGAGCTCTGTTAAGCCTTTCAATATACAAACCTATTTATCTTTGTTTACATAATACTTATCAAACCTTGCTCAATGTATGTTCTGTGGAATACACTTTGAAAAAAGGTGGGTTAATGTGTCACCCTTTACAAGACCTGTGTTATATTTCTTAATAATATTTAGAAATAGGATCTCAGCCGTATGGTAAGCCGGTAAGGGAGTTACTAGCAAATGAGTCATCTGCCACCTCTCAAATCAGTTGTCATAGAAAGCTGCCTCTTTTGTCTGAGCAAAGGCTTTCATGTAGGAGCTAGCCCAACTCGCCTTCTCTTCCATTAACCAATCACAAGTCAATCAAGAACATCACTTCTGGCAAAAGCTGCATTGACTCATTCAGGTCTAAAAATAAGTCTTGACCATGTGTGGTAGGTCTAGATTCTGCTCTAGGATCTAACACCTATCTTCACTAATTTTAATCTAACAACTATCTTCACCTATCTTTTCGTTGTAATCATTTGCCACTAATCCATACTAATCTGTTATAAAGAGAAGCCATACAAATAATCAAAATCCCCACTTCTTTTTTTCAAGTTGTGTGGAAACATGCCAGTATTAAATGTTCCGTCACAATATTTGGCAAATGCATAATGGCATTTATACACTTTAAATTTTAACAGACTCAGAGAAGAATAAGTCCAAAATAATCATTCCAGGCTTTGAGAAAGAAAAACCCTGCTCTAAAGAATGTTTTTGAGATAGCATTTTAGTTATAAATCAGATTTACTTCTCAAAAGCGATCTTGAACTACATGTAAAAGAAATAGTGTTTTAAGCAAACTAATATTAACTCATGTTTAACTCTGGATAGAGCGGTCTGGGAACACAGAATCCATTACTTAGACATAAATTAATAAAGATTTCTTTTATGAGTTCTGTATTTCAATGATGGATATACATGCCTAGGAAGGCATATGTTTGGATTGGAACACGTGAGTCCCTAAGCATGGAAATAAGAAAAAAGTATAAAATAAAAGGAAAGAAAAATGGGGAAAATGATCATGCCTAGCAAGTATGATATCTAATGGAGCACTTATAATCAGCCCCTAGCCCAGTCTAAGCTCATTCTTCATCCCAGTTACAAAAAGGCCACAAACACTAACTCCCAGTGCAAAGGGAACCCATCTGGGGTCCAGACTTAACAATGTCTGAAATGATGAGCCCAATGTCAGGACCATTTGTGGTCCTGCTAAATGAAATTGGCTGGTACTTGCAACCCTCTTTCAAGAGATGTTTGCAGATCTCAGAAGCAATACAAAATGAGGACTGAGACTCGACATTAAGCTGGTCAAAAATCAAACTGATTCCTAAGGTGTTAGCTCAAAATAGGTTTGGCTATTCCTCGATGACCAATTCAAAATCGAATTTTCTTTGCCTTTTGATGAATTCAAATGTTGAACATCTTGCAAAGAGAATCATCTTCAGGAGGCAAGCTCAACTACACCCCATGTCCTGTACCAAACATGTATAAAGATCGCTTGTTTCTGCTCAGGAAGAGAGCTAATTGTATCAACAAACATCTGTCCATAAACTGCTAGTCTAACCAAGTAAAGCTGTAGCTTGACAATTCTACCACAAGAAATGGCTTTATGGGGATATGTTGTTTTATTTTGCTGGAGTTCTTCTGTTATGACAACTAAATCCTTAGAAATCAGCTATTTTATTTAATGTTCAGGAAAAGAATCTGGATTAAGAAAACTGACAAATCTGACATCTCTCTTGCTGGAAAACGAATGTGAGCAACTTCGCCTCAAAATTTCAATCAAGTAAAGGCATTTGTTAAGTTCAAAAATATTTCCTAAATCTGAATCAGAAATGTTTAAGTACCCAAAAAATAAGGTACTTAAAAGGTGAAAATAGTTAAGACAGTTGCCCTTTTTCAAAAGCAGGGGTCCTCGTGAAGACAGATATCTATACCAGCTATTTTGGAATTCGTAAATGTCAACAAACTGTACATTTCCTGTCTTTTGTCATCCTTTCTTCAATAATCCAGTCTCCCTGACCTGCTGACCCTAGTGTCCTTTTCTCCAGTCCTCCCAAAACCTTTCTTGCAGACTCACATACCTTTATGCCTTTAAACTCCCAATTCTCTATTCCCCTGAGGGCAAGGGACAATCTTCTGTGTTATCTTCTACAGGTTGTTCAGAGGCACAACTCACAGAAGCCTGGTCTACCTTGAGTATACAAGTGCTCAAAAAACACTGAATGAGCCCACTTGTACCTCAGGATAAGTATTCATTTTTATTTCTTAAAGTGGTTTAAAAAGAACTGAAAGGCCAATTAAGGATGGTGAACATTTTCTTTTACCGAAAACTTTCTTAAAGTTAATTCACACAAGCACCATCAAACTTATATACTGATCAAATCTCTACATTTACTAGTTTCCTGAAGATTTCTAATCTATTTGGCCTCATGAGAGGTGACGGGAGGATATCGTCCTTGCAGTTTTATTAGTGTTGGTTTATAACAGTTTATTTATACTTTTAAAAATACAAGGGACACAGACATTTTGTATTCTATTAGTAATACCATAGACTTAAGGTCTCCTTCATTTAACAAGAAATTGTAAAGTACATATTGTACAACACTTCTGAGTTTGTCTCTGTAAGATGAATTAAATCAATGTATTTTATGTGTATGAGGAATAAAACATTTTAATACACTGTGTTATGCAGCTATTGATGGAATCATTTTTTCCATATTGTATAGTCAGTATTTTTCCATAATATAGATTATTTCATAATGCGTATTCAAGCCTGCCATGTGCCAAACATGAGCTGGGGGCTGGAGACACGGTCCCCACTTCATAGACTTGTAATCTAAAAGAAAAATTTGCAAATCTTGATGAACTATATATTCCAGATAGGTAAGCAAAAGAACCAGTGGTTCATTTTCTAAAGCATAGCACATTCTAACAGTAATATCACTTTAAAACTTTATTTCCAAATTTGAAACAACAAAAAGTTAATCATTAGCTTTCATATAATCTCTCTGAAATAACAACGCAAAAAACTCTGCGGAGCAATCTATAAAACAGAGTAACAAAGAGTTCTCATTAAGTAGACAGCAAGAGAGTCACAAATACTTCCATTAGCTTTAGCTGTGCCTAGAATGGCTTGGCTTTGGTTATTGGATTTAGCTAAAAATCAGTAATCACATTTAAAATTTTTTCCTATCTTCAGATAATAGTATGAAACTAAGTTTCAAAATGTCCAATTCTACATGCTGAATCCTGCCAGGTAGAGTAGTTAATATTAAATGTTTCCTTGGATCTGATCTTAGAGTTTTGACAGCAAACTTACACAAACCTTTTTTTCTTGTATTATTTGGAGGTAAGAAATATTTCCTGAAGACTTATTCTTGATCAACCCATATACCATACATTCGAAGATCAAAATGTCTGTTGATCACCTATTTTAATACCTTCTCAGTTTGGTTCTTATGTATCATTATAAAACTATTCTGGCCCTGCACTGAGAATTTTTAGCCTACTTTTTTGCTTGCTTTGTCATTAAAGATTACGCGTCCCACGCTGATATTATTAGCACCAATAACTTTAGCAGTACCTTGAGTATCAGAAGACCAGGCCCAAATCATTTCCTAAGCAGAAACATAATGAAAAAAGTCCTAAGAACATTTTTAAATACCTCTTTATTAATACTAAATGCAACACAATTAACATAAATCAGAACGTGCTTTAACACACTTCTAAGAAAGATGAATACGGATAGTTATTTGGGAACATCAGTTGGAATACAGACCCCATCACAAACTATTCATCTCCCATGGTTATAGCCTTTTTCCTTGGAAAGGCCTTGTGCAGTTTCAAAATCTGAACGTCAATCAGAAGCCACTTTTCACCCTGGTAGGAGGACCTACATGTCTGCATACACCACCACCCCAGATTTGCAAGATCCGTAAGATTCCCCCAGCATCCAAAGCAGCGAGTGTACCTAATACGTATGTACATACAGGTAGAGATGGATACACAGAGCTGATAAACTGGTCCTCTGGAAATTAGGGGGAAAATGATAAATGACTCGTTCTCCTTTCCTCTAAAGCACTGCCTTCTGCACCTTATCTTTCTACTTCTGTCCGCAAGGAAGACCAAACCCCGCGCCCTTACTGGAGACTCGCAATCATTCCTTCGGGTTTTTGACACAGCAAAGTGAGAGTGACCGCTGGGGTTGCGTGAGCCAGGATTTGCTTCTTCTGTATTGCTCTCCTCCCCCACCCCTCCCCGCCACTCCAGCCTCCCTAGCCTACACTCACTAAAGGGTGGCCTAAGGTCTGGGGAGATGGGCTTGGGGCTGGGGGGATGGGACGGGAAAGCAGAAATTGGGCCCCTGGCACTCTAAGTCCGGGTTATTCCCCATTTCCATCCCTCCCTCCACTTCCCACCTTCCAACTTTAATACCTTTTACCAAGAGGCACCCCTGGGCCCATCCTTCCTTCCTTCCCCCACCGCCCCCAGTCATACCATTTGCCGCCCTCCGGATGCCCCCATGGCTGTCAGGGGACAGCGCCCTTACCAGGCTCATGGACGCCAGGGTTGTCGGACAGCTCGATGACCAGGAGCTCCCGGCCCTCGAAGCTGCGCCCCACCGTGTAAATCCTGCTGATGGCGGTGCACTGCAGCCACACGGACACAAGCGCCTCGCGCAGCTCAGGGTAGCGGTGGTACTCGAAGGAGATGCCGTCCTCCTGCTGCAGCCGCCGGCGTCGCCTCATACCCGCCGCTGGCGCCCCGGGCTCCTGGGCTTCGGCGCCCAGGAGCCACCCGCAGGCGGCCAGTGCCCCGCACAGAGCCAGCAGCGCGCGGCCCCCTCGCCCCGCCATCTCTGCGCTCGCCGCCGCTGGCGGTACCTTCCTACGCGGGCGGCCTCTTTTGTCTGCCCGGCCCTGGGCTTAGCCGGCCGGCGCTGCTGGGGGCGGCAAGTTCCGCACTAGCCTCCACTCGCCTCACCTTCCTGGGCTGAATGAGTGTCAGCCCGCGCACTGGGGCCACCCAGAGGAGAGGGGCGAAGCTGGGCTGCACTACTGGCCGCAGAGCCCAGGGGAGCTGCAGGAGAAACCACTGAGAGGAGGGGGTCGGCCGAGAGCGAGATAGGCCGGCGTGGATCTGGGAGGGCTGCTGGCGTTATTTGTTGGCTCAGAACCACGTCAATAGCCAAATGGCGTCCGGGACGACGCAGGTGAAATGACAGCTAAGGTCCGGGGCTCGGGAACGTTGCTGTCATTGAGACACCCATGACCCACCCACGTCACTGCGTATGGAAAAAATATTCTTGTATTGTTAGTGGAGACTTTTAAAGGGACATATAGTCCAAGCCTACCAGTTTCCATCTTGATGCACCAAGAATTAGAGAATATTCCAGAAAAAAAAAAAAAAGGAAACATTGGCAACCACTTGGCTTCTCCTGATGCGTCTTTCCTAACTGTTTCAAGAATCCAAACACAAACCCAAGGGTTAGGTTTTCATTTATTGAAAGGTCTTGCTGGAAATCAGAACATTAGTGCTTTGATATAGAGGTTTAAGAGAATAGAAATGCTTTCTTCCAATTTGTAGATACTGCCCTTAATTGTATTTATACACATTCCTAGATTCTTCCAAAAAACTAACAAAACAGGTAAGTCAATGTCATGTGGCTGTGCCTGCACCAGCCCTCTTCTGTAACACTATAGGGAAAATAAAATACAACTCTGCTGATGCTTTAGACAAAGCACTTAGTTTGGCATTAAGATTAAATCCTGTTATGGAAAGAAAACTGATGATAATATCACATCTCCATTCTTTTTGCAAAGCTCTTGTAAAAATATAAAATCATTTACAGCTTTAAATACCCACCCCTTAGTTGGGATTTATATTCCTGGAGCAATGTCTGGAGCAGATGTTACTCCAAAGAGGTTGCTGTTTGGATTCAGGAATGGCACAAATCTAAATAAATAATCCATTGGGTATTGCAACCAAGCAGGAAAAGTGGACACCATGGTGGGTAATTTTTTATGTTAGGCTTTTTTTTTTCTAAACTCGTTCATTCTTCACCTGTTTAACAGTGTATTGCACATAATTAAAACTTTTACCTGGAAAAGGAGTTAGATATTTAAGTCATTTTATTAGATCAAAAAGTAAAAGCACAGACATGGTTAGGAAGGTGCTGCTGGAGAGGCTGGCTTCAAACACCCCATCTACATTTACCACAGTGGCATGGATCTCTGTTTTTTGCATTCTCGGGGAGAAACTGTCACTATAAACTCATGGCACTCAAGTTGAACTGATGTGCATCCAGCCCTTTTTTTTGTCAATGTAGGCAGAGCTAAAAATTATGTATTTTCCACTATGACCAGTATGTGTTTGATTACATGGTCCAGAAGTTTGAAGTCAGACTTATAATTACATATCTAAAATCATGCCCTAAACAGCAACCTTGGAAACCTAGAAAAAAAAAATTGAGTAGCTAAAACCAAATAACTTCAGAAGTAGGAGGTTAACAGATTTTCATGTTAGCAATTTAGAGTAACCACACAAATTTGTGGTTAGGGTGGGGCATACTGACTAGTAACTACACACATAAACAACATACTTTTCATTGAAGTCCTATGTTGCTCCTTAGCTGTCTCTTTGAACAAAGGATATGCTTTCTATTTTCTGAAAAAAAAAAAATTTTCGTTTTGGAGAAAAAAAAAATTTTTTATGTGTAAAATCATACCTTATGTGATTTCACTTGTTGGGGGGGGGTCAGGTTAGTTGTTTCCCTAATCTATAAAATGAAAGGTATGGATTAGATTATTCACTCTCTAATGTTTGTTTGCAACACAATCATGTGGAGTTTATAAAATGTGCAGATTCTTAAGCCCCCGCCAATTCATCAGGTCAGGGGTGGGTTCCAGATATTAACAAGCTTCTAGTTTTTAAAAAGAAGACCATTCATTTATGATTTTGATGTTTGACTGACAAAGACATTCTGAGAAATAATGTACTGTAGGTTTCCTAAGGTCCCTTTCAGAACTAAAATGCTATGATTCTGGAAGTTTTCTTTTCTAAGTAAATTACTGCTCATTTGATAAATGGTAGTACTCCTCACATATTATTGGTCATACTGCAAACACCAAGGCATCAGTTCAGAGAAACTAAAACTTGGTCTTTGAATTTCTGGGCTATTTTAGGTGTAGATCAGCTGTACCAAATTTGCTGGCATGTGTATTATTTGTTTGTAACTTCATAGGCAATTATACAGAAGATTGAATAACCATCCTGATTGCCAGATTTACAAAAATCTTGTATGCAAAGTCTTTAATGTGTTTGTGTACACATAGTTAAATTTAGTATCCAAGAAAAAGAGCTGCTTTTTTTTTCATGTCACTTACAGGCATCCATAAGAGCATATTTAAACTCCCCAAGTCTCCCTCCACTTCCTGCCTCATCTCTATTATCTTTAAATTAAAAAACTATCTCTTTTTGTATCAATAATCTTTTATTTCCTCTTTTATTTCCTTCTTTCAAAGCCCTTCCTAAAATTCATCTACTCAGTTAAAAATTCTGTGAACACATAGCTGTATACTCATCCAGTTGTGTGCTGGTAAATGTCAGCTGTCTGGGGCAGGGGGAGGGGAAGCCTGATTTACAATGTTTGCTAATTTCCATGGTTTAAATATTCCTACCATGGCTGATTTCAAACTACCAGTGTTGCATCACTGAACACAACAGTGTTAGGAAGAGATATGCCATAGCATGACATCATATAGTGTTGTGATGGGATAATTTCTTTATATTCTTCCTTTTCAAGTGATAAAACTTAATTTTTTCCATCTGAGTGTAAGCAGGACTTAGTGATTTTCTCATGAACATAACATAGCAAAAGTAATGAGATGAATCTTCCAAAATTACGTTATTAAAAAGACTGCAGCTTCCATCTTAACTGCTCTCTCATGCTTGCGTGTGCGCTCTCTCCCCCATCACCCCCTCTCCCTCTCTCTCTCCCTCTTTTCCTCCCGCCAGTCCCCTATCACTCCATCACTGGTCTTAAGGAAGTTGTCTGTCATATTGTGGAGAGGCTCATATAGCAAGGAACTGAGGCATCTGGCAAACAGTGTGAGAGAAACTGACATCCTCACTCTAGCAGTCAGTTAAGAACTGAGGTCTGTCAACAACTGTGTGGGTGGACGGGGGCAGATATCAGCCCCACCTGAGCCTCAAGAAGACTCCATCTCTGACATCTGACATCTCTGAGGTTTGCTACAGCCTCATTAGAGACTCTGAGCCAGAACCACCACTAATACACACATCTCCTCAGTACAGATACAATAGACATAATTAACCATAAGAACATCAAGGATAGGTAATTTCAGCAAGATAGCAGAATAGGAAGTTCCAGCCTTCATTTCCCAGCAGAAACACAGATTTAACCAAAGTAACAAATTAGCTTTATAAGAAGTTCAGGATTAAGTTAAGAAATTTCAGTACCCCAGACAAACAAAAAAATCAAGATTAGCCACACTGAAACAGAAAAGAACAGCTTTTTCACTTTACCTACTGGCACAAATCAGCACCAGAGAGATTTCAATCCTTTGGTGGGGTGGGGAGGGCAGAGAATAGAGAGTAGGGTGAGCATCCAACATTTCTGGCCTTTCAGTACACCCCCCAAGGAGCTGGCTTCTGTTATGCCTCTTACAGAGTGCTTAAAGACATGGCATAGTCCAGATGCCTGGAAAAGCTAGGAGAATGGGTACCTTCTTGTGGCTGGTAAGGCTCTAAGAGACCTGTAAAAGGCATAGAACTGAGTCCTCTCCTTCAGGAAAGAAGGAGTAGATCATGACTTTAATGTCCTGAGCCTCTCAGTGAGCTCCCTGAAGAGCTAGTTTCTATCTCACCTAATATGGAGCACAGATGAGACTGACAAGAGATTGCTAGTGCAGAAAAGAAAGAAAAAAGGAAGAGAGGGGAGGGGAGGGAAGAAGACAAGATGAAAGACTGAACACCTGGATCAGATCCTAGGAATAAGACCCAGAAACTCTACCTGGGCTATGTTTCACAATCAAACCCAGTTTATTAAGACTGGAGAAGGAGCTATTTCTGCTCATGTAAAGATATCAATGCAAAACTACAAGTAACATAAAGAATCAGGAAAATAAAACACACTAAAAAGAACAAAATAAATATCCAGTAACTGACCCTAAAGAAATGGACATCTATGAATTCTCTGACAAAGAATTCAAAATAAACATCTTAAAGTAGCTCAGCAAGTTACAAGATAACCCAGATAAACAACTAAACAAAATGAGGAAAACAATACATTAAATAATTAAGAATATCACAAAGAAATAGAAATTATAAAGAACCAAATGGAAATTCTGGAGCGAAAGAATGCAATAACTGAAATAAATTTATCATAAGGATTTAACAGTAGATTTGATGAAACAGAAGAACTAGTGAACTCAAAGATAGGTCATTTGAGATTATCCAGTCAGAGAAGCAAAAAGAAAAGAAAGTCAAAAAGAGTGAAGAGAGTCTAAGGGATTTATCATACACTACCAAGTGAACAAATATATTGATTATGGGTGTTCAGAAGGAGAAGAGAGAGAGGAAGAGACATGGCAACCATAAAGAAAATGCATATAATAGATAAAAGAAAGAAGGAAAAAAGAAATACATACATATAAAAGAAAAATAATGAAATTAGCATATCACTACAAAAAAATCAAAACATGAAGACAGCAAGAGAGGAAAAGAAAGACAAAAGAACTACAAAACAGAAAATGACAAAACATCAATAGTAAATCCTTACCTATCAATAATTTAAATGTAAATGAATTAGATGCTCTAATAAAAATACACAGAGTAGTTGAATGGATAAAAAAACAAAATCTAACTATATGCTGTGAGCAGAAGGCATACTTTAGAATCAAAGACACACATAGGCTAAAAGTAAAGAGATGGAAAAAGATATTCCACGTAAATGATAAACAAAAGAGATCGAGAATGTCTATAAGCATATCAAATAAAACAGAATTTAAGTCAGAAACTGTCACAGAAGGTCCCTAATATTTAATGATGAAAGGGACAAATCATCAAGAAGATGTAACAATTAAAAATACATATGCTCTCAATATTAGAGCACCAAAATACATAAAGCAAACACTGACAGACTTGAAGGTAAAATACAGAGCAACACAATAAAATAGGAGATTTTATACCCTACTTTTAATAATCGATAAAACATTCAGACAGAAAATCAATAAGGAAAGAGCAGACTTGAACAATACTATAGACCAAATGGACCTAAAAGACATATACAGAATATTCCACTCAACAGCAGCAAAATATATTCTTCTCAAGTGCGTACAAAACCTTCTCAAGTTCACATGCAATCATGTTAGACTATAAAATAAGTCTCAACAAATTTAAGATTGAAATCATAGCAAATATCTTTTCTGACCACAATGAAATTAAACTAGAAATCAAAAACAAAAGGAAAACTAGAAAATTCAGAAATATGTGGAAGTTAAACAACACACTTTTAAATAACTGTTGGATTGAAGAAGAAATCAGAAGATGAATTAGAAGATATTTCAAGGGATGGGCATGGTGGTTCATGCCTGTAATCCCAGCACTTTTAGAGGTCAAGGTGGGTGGATCACCTGAGGTCAGTAGTTCAAGACCAGCCTGACCAACATCACTACTACAAATTAGCCAGGCGAGGTGGTGCATGCCTGTAATCCCAGCTGTATGGGAGACTGAGGCAGGAGAATCAGTTGAACCTGGGTGGCAGAGGTTGCAGTGAGCCGAGATAGTACCATTGCACTGCAGGCTGGGCAACAAAAGCAAAACTATCTCAAAAAAAAAAAAAAAAAAAAGAGAAGATATTTCAAGACAAGTGAATGCACAATACACAAAATCTTATGGGATGCAGCAGAAGCAGTACTAAAAGAAAAGTTTATAGTGATGAACACATATATTAAAAAAGATAAAAGCTCAAATAAACAACCTAACATGACACTTCATGAAACTAGAGAAAGAATAACAAACTAAGTTCAAAGCTAGCATAAGGAAAGACGCAATAAAGATTAGAGCAAATATAAATAAAATAGAATATAGAAAAAACAATACAAAAAATCAACAACATTGAGTTTCTAAGATAAAAAAGACAAATCTTTAGCTAAAAATAACTAAGAAAAATGAGGAGAATATACTCAAATAAATAAAATCATAAATGGAAGCAGAGATATTAAAACCAATGCCATAGAAATAAAGAGTATCATAAGACTATTATAAACAACAATATGTCAACAAATTGGGATAACTTGGAAGAAATGGATAAAGTCTTAAAAACATACAATGTGCCAAGACTTAATCAACAAGAGACAGAAAGTTTAAACAGACAAATAAAAATGAGGGTCAATAATTTAAAACCTCTCTATATTGAAACAGACAAAATGACGATCAATAATTATATTGATATCAAAACTTTTCAACAATGAAAAGTAAAGAGCTTCACCAGTAAATTCTACCAAACATTTAAAGAAGAATTAACATAAATCTTTCCAAAACTGTTCAAAATAATTAATAAAAGAGATATTTCAAAATTTATTTTATAAGGCCAGCAATACCTTGATACCAAAGCCAGACAAAAAAATCACAAGAAAGAAAACTACAGATCAATATTCCTGATGAACATATAATGGAAGGATTCTCAACGTAATACTATCAGGCCAAATTCAATGGTATGTTAGAAAAAAATTCTACACCATGATTAAGTGTGTTTATCCCTGGGATACAAGGCTCAATGTATGAAAATATTAATATGATACATGGTATTAACAGACAGAAGGATTAAAAGCACATGATTATCTCAATAAAGGCAATGGAAAGCTTTGACAAAATTCAACACCAATTCATAATTTAAAAAAACTTAACAAACTAGATATAGAAGGAATTTATCTCAACATTAACAAAGGTCAAATATGAAAAGTCCACAGCTAACATAATATTCAATGGTGAAAATCTGAAAGATTTTCTTCAAAAATCAGGAAGAAAGCAAGGATACATACTCTCACCACTTGTATTCAACATAGTACCAGAAGTCTTAGAGCAATTAGATAAATGAGAGAAATAAAAGCCATCCAAATTGGAAAGGAAGAAATCAAATTGTCTCTATGTGCAGATGACATTATCTTACATGTAGAAAATTCTAAAGACTCACAAAAGAGTGTTAGAACCATAAACAAACATAATAAAGTTGCAGAATACAAAAATCAACTTACAGAAAAATCAGTTGCATACTAACAATGGACTACCCAAAAAGGAAATTAAGAAAACAGTCCCATTTACATGGGAATAAAAATAATAATAACATATTTAGAACTAAAGTCAACTAAGAAGATGAAAAACTTGTTCTTCTAGTGCAGTGAAACTAAAGAACACACAAATGGATGCAGAGATATGCATTTATTGTTCATAAATTGGAAGACAATATTTTTTAAATGTCTACACTACCAAAAACAATGTATAAATTTAATGTAATCTCTATCAATATCTCAATGGAATTTTTAAAGAAATAGAAAAAAAAAAACATATGAAACCACAAAATACCTCAAATAACCAAAGTAGTCTTAAGCAAGAACAAAGCTGGAATATTATACTTACTGATTTCAAAATATAAAGCTGCAGTAATTAATGCAGTATGGTACTGTCATTAAAACACACCCATACCTCAACAGATAGAGAGCCCAGTAAACCCAGGTATATATAGTCAACCAATCAACAAGAATGCCAAGAATACACGGTGGAGAAAAGATAGTCTCTTCAACAAATAATGCTATGAAAACTAGATATCTACATGCAAAAGAATAAAATTGGACACTTGTCTTACACCATACACAAAAGTCAACACAAAATGAATTGTGTTGTGAACTGCAATATTCCTAGAAAAAAAGACAGGAAAACTCTTCATGGCATTGGTCCAGGCAATGATTTTTCAGATGTGACAACAAAAGCACCAGCAAAAGAGAAAAATCAGAGAAATGGGACTACATCAAACTAAAAAGCTTCTGCACATCAGAGGATAAAATCAACAGAGTGAAATGGCAACCTTCAGAATGGAAGAAAATATTTGCAAATCATATGTCTGATAAAATATTCATATCTAAAAAATACAAGGAACTCATACAAATCAATAGCAAAAATAAATAAATAATCTGATTTACAATGGGTAAGGGAATTGAGTGGACATTTCTTCCAAGAAGACATGCAAATAGCCATCAGGTATATTAAAAAGTGCTTGATATCATTAATCATCAGAGAAATGCAAATCAAAACCACAATGAGTTATCATCTCAGACCTGTTATGATGGCGATTATAAAAAAGATTACAATGTTGGCAAAGATGTGGAGAAATTGGAATCCTTGTACACTGTTGTGGGAATGTGAGATAATGCAGCTGCTAAGGAAAACAGTAGGGTGGTTCCTCAAAAAATATAAAAATGGAATTAACATATGATACAGTAATCCCACTTCTGGGTATATATCCAAAAGAATTGAAAGCAAAAACTCAAAGAGGACATGAACTCTAATATTCACTGCAGCATTATTCACAATAACCAAGATATGGAAACAACTTCATATGTCCAGGGACAGAGGAACTCATAAAACCAATATTTGTATACAATAGTATATTATTCGTCTGTTAAAGAAGAAAATTTTGCAATACATGACATGAATAATCCTAGAAAATCACAGAAGAACATACACTGCCTGACCACACTTCTATGAGATATCTAAAATAGGCAAACTCATAGGAGCAGAGAGTAGAATGTTTGCCAGTGGCTGGAACAAGGGGGAAACCTGGTGTTACTATTCAATGGCATAAAGTTTCAATCATGCAAAATGAGTGAGCTCTAGAGATCTGCTGTCCAACACTGAGCCTGTGGTTAACAAAACCGTACCATGCACTTAATTTTTTTTTTTTTTTGAGACGGAGTTTCGCTCTTGTTACCCAGGCTGGAGTGCAATGGCACCATCTCGGCTCACCACAACCTCCGCCTCCTGGGTTCAGGCAATTCTCCTGCCTCAGCCTCCGGAGTAACTGGGATTACAGGCACGCGCCACCATGCCCAGCTAATTTTTTTGTGTTTTTAGTAGAGACGGGATTTCACCATGTTGACCAGGATGGTTTCGATGTCTTGACCTTGTGATCCACCCGCCTCGGCCTCCCAAAGTGCTGGGATTACAGGCGTGAGCCACCGCGCCCGGCTCGCACTTAAAATTTTAAAAGAGTAGGTTCCAGCCGGGCAAGGTGGCTCATGCCTGTAATCCCAACACTTTGGAAGGCCGAGGTGGGCGGATCATTTGAGGTCAGGAGTTCATGACCAGCCTGACCAACATAGTGAAACCCGTCTCTACTAAAAAATACAAAAATTAGCTGGGTGTGGTGTCGAGTGCCTGTAGCTCCAGCTACATGGAAGGCTGAGTCAAGAGAATCACTTGAACCATGGAGGTGGAGGTTGCAGTGAACCGAGACGGCATCACTGCACTCCAGCCTGGGGGACACAGCAAGACTCCGTCTCACAAAAAAAAAAAAAAAAAATAGATAGACCTCATGTTAAGTGCTTATACATTAGTTAATTAATAAAAATGATTCTAATAATAATACTAGATTGTCACTAGCCTCTTTGACTGTAAAGCTGCTTGTTCCTTAGCACAAATCAAATCAGAGCATTAACTTGCATCAGTAGTTACTGTTTTCTCCATGGCTATGCCACTAAAAAAAAGGCAGTGTCACTTGAAACTGTTCTTGATGAAACAGTAAAAATTATTAATTTTACTGAGTCTCTACCCTTGGAGGAAACGAGAATTTAGAAGATAAATGTGGCAACATAGAAGTGATACGTTTGTGTGTTTATTACATTTGTTTTTAACATAATCGATTCAATTGCAAGTTTATATCATTTATATTATTTTTAAATAATGGCTTTGTTCAAGAAGTGGTGCACAAAATTCCTTTAATTTTAACATTTGGCTCTTGCAAGTGGTATGAGCTGGCTTCAGCAGACCACTGTATATCCATCTCTAGTCTTCATTACTCACTGATTGGCACTCCCTTTCTCTGCGGCTGGCCCTCCTCTGTAGTACCTTATAAAGGTAGTCTTGTGTCATCACTCAGTTTTCATGAACCGTCTGCTTTAGGATCACCTGGAGAACATGATCATATTCCAAATCAATTCAATCCATTTTGCAGGGAATGGGGACTTGGAAATCTGCATTGGAGTACTTGGTTGAGTTGCCCCAAACATACACACTTCTGGTGGTGATTCTCATGCACAACAGGATTGCAGGAACACTGGTTCAAGAGTTTGACAGAACAGCATTTTTTATTTTTGACTAGAATTTTTAAATACCAGGTCTACTTGTTTTGGAAGATTGCTAAATGACTTCATCTGAACAGGAGGCTACACTGTGAGCATTCCATGAAATGTTTATTCATAAAATAATGCCTGTCAGTGGGTGGGCACAGCAGTTAACACAGGAGACCTGCTCACTAAATGGAAACCTTCTGTGCCCCTTCACCCCTTGCTTGGGCAGACTCTCCAATTTCACAGCCTCTTACTGGCCACCGCAGTGTCCCTGTCCAGGCTTTGCTGTTCCAGAATTCTTTATTCTATTTTCTGAACTCCAAACACTTCTTAACTCCCTGTTAAGCACAGAAGAAATTCTCTTAGCAAGCAGCTCCTCATCCACATTCTGAAGCATACTGATGGATGTCCAGGTCCCCTGACCATTTCTGGCCAGTGCTTCAGAGGGGATCATGATTCTGCCACCACTGGGTTCTACACATACGGAGAGTCAGGCAAGTATGTCACCAAATATTTATGCCACTTTTACTCATGCTTTTGTAATTAATTAAAAATTAAGCAAATTGATAAATTTGAGAGTAGGAGAAAAGTTAAATGCTCACTATCAAAGCTATAAACAAATCCATTACCTCCCAAAGTTTCCTCCCATCCCCTTTGTTATGATTGTTTTGGGGGTTTTGTCTGTGTGATAAGAACACTTAACAGCAACAGATCTACCCTTTTAGCAAATTTTAAGTATGCCATATTATTAGCTAGAGGCACTATGCTGTATAGTAGATTTTCAGAGCTTATTTATCTTGCACAACTGAAACGTCGTACCCTTTTTTCTTAGGGGTACATGTGAAGAACATGCAAGACTGTTGCATGATAGTTTCACGGTTATATACTTATTCTCAAGGTCATGGAGATATATATAATAAATATGTGCAGCTTTTATAAAAAAAGTTAAATGCTTAGGAAACGCTTGAAGCTTAAGAATGGAATCACCTACGGATGAGAAAACGGTAGTAGACTAAGGAAGACAAAAATCTCTAAAGGGTCTGCCCTTAGATTTGTTCAAAAACTTATACTTCACTTTTAAGAAACTAAAACTAGAATTGGTAGAAAATGATTTATGAACATGATATTTTCAAGAAAAATGAAAGAAACTTCAAATCAATGGTCCCATATGCACAGAAAATACCTTGATCCTATATCCAGCAATCAACAGATGAATCACTATTGCTTATGTTTTAAGTTAAAATAAATTATCAAAATTGTTCTTGTATGCTTCATTTTTTTAAACAATTATCTTCTTTAACTCATTTTTTTTTAAATTAATCAACCCACTGTATGTTCCAGTCACATCAGTCAAGAGGGCAGATAAGTACCAGAGTAGACAGGTAACAATACAATATGAACCACATACATAATTTTAAATTTTATATGAAATAGTAGCCATGTTAAAAAAAAAGGTAAAAAGAAAAAGGTGAAAATAATTTTAATAATAAATTTTGTTTCATCCAATATATTCCAATTATTATCATTTCTACTTGTAATCAATATAAGATATCTTAGTAAGGCTTTTTTTTTAACACTGTCTTGAAAATCCATTGTGTAATTTACATCACATCACAGCACATCACAGATAGACTAGCCATATTTCAAATGCTCAGTAACAACTGTATTGAACAGCTGACAAATCTTGCTATTGTGAAAGTCCCATCTTTGATAATGCTTTTGCTTTATCTTCACAGGCAATACCTTGGTGCAGCCTCTGGTTATATCTTGCCTGGACCATGTAGCATCTTCCCCTTGAGATGACTCCTCTCCGTCACTGCTTAATCTCAGTTTTTAATCTTGCTGCCAAAATCGCATTCTCTACTCTTCACCTTGACTGCACTATCTAGGATTCTGTCATGACCATCTCTCACTGAATTAAAACAAAGCCATGATCTCCTTCCTCAAAGAATTTTATTAGAGAACCCTAGGCAATCTTACTTTCTATATTTCTGTCTGCTTCTTTCACAACCTCATTTTATCTCTCAAGCTATTATTTCAAATTTCTGCAACCACCACGCCCCCTCCAAACTACAAGACTTAGGAAATCACCGGGTAACATGACGTAATATATCAGAGCACTCAGGCTTGGAGATCAAACTGCCCAGGTTCAAAGCTTGCATCTGTTGCTTCCTACCTCTGTGACTACAGCTAAGTTATTTACATCTTCGTGAGGAACCAGGTGGGCTCCAGGGAAACAGATTCTGAAATAGAGGTTTTCATGCAGGAGGTTTACTAGGGAGTGCCCATGAGGTCAACCCCAGTGGAAAGGAAGGGAAGAAAGCTGCATTGGGCAGAAGGAGAAGTTCAGCTGCAATGCAGTACCAGGAAAGGCCTCAGTCAAACCTGTACTTGTATCTACACCATCCTTACCTCTTAAGCTGGCTTTCTTCCTCCCCAAGCCAACTCTATCCATGAGACTCTGTTTCTCTCTTTTCTTCTCCATCATGAAGTCTTTCTCTCTCCTATACTTTCAGGTCCTCTTTCTCTCCTTGAACTTCCTCATTACACAAATCTCTCCTATCTTTTTAAAACAGTGAAATCCTCACTTGAGTTCACTTTTCTCAGTAGCCAAACACCTCAGCTTTCTCACGTCTCATTCACTCTTCTATTTAACATCTACTCTATGGGTTCTAGCCATCTAATAAAACTTCATATTCACTGGTTATTTACTGCCTGTGAGGTGTTATACTAAGCACTCTACGTGTAGTATCTTACTAAATACACATGTACGTATTAGAAAGAGATTGTCCAGATCCCCCTTCAGGAATTAAGGGCTGTTCCTTCAGCAAATGGATGTGGTCTCATCAGAGAGCCTCAGCTGTCTGCCTCTTTGGGGGATGGCCTTAGCGGAGAACAGTCCAAGACCACACCACACCACCTTCCCAAACAGCCCACATCCAGCAATTGTTCATTTTACAGTATATGTACATTACATACAGCAGTATAAAGGCCGAATGTCCTCACCCGTGCTCAGAACAACTCTTCAAAGGTCACCCAGTTTCAGAGCACCCTATGAGTTCCACTGAGGCCTTTCTTGAGACTGCCATGCAGCTCACCTTCTCCCCCTGCCAAATCCTGCTTCCTTTCCTTCCTTTCCACTGATGTTGATCTCATGAGCACTCCCTAGTAAACCTCCTGCATGGTAAACTCCATCTCAGAATCTGTTTCCCTGAGGCCCAGCTGGCTCCTTATGACAACATAAATAACTGCTATAGTCACAGAGTTAGGAAGCAACAGATGCCCATTTTGAACCTGGGCAGTATGACCCCCACTCCAAGCCTGATTGCTCTGATCCATTATGTTATGTTAGCCAGTGATTTCCTAACTGGCCACCTATTGAAAGCTTTAAATTCTAATTTTACTGGAGCACTCTGCTGCATTTAACACTAAGGAGTGCTTCTTCTTTCTTGAAACCTTCTCTTCCCTTGGCTTTGGTGTCTGTACAACTTGCTAGCAGGAACCTTAGGACCGTCCTGGACTTCCTCAGGGCTCCAGGATTGGCCAGTTGTTTTCCTCCCTCTGCGCATGCCGAGGGTGACCTCATTCATTCTCATAGTCTCAATTATCACCTCCCTCCTCCCATGTTTATAGCTCCCAGCATTCAGAGTCATTCAGAGTCCTGTGTCTTCTACTTAGACAGAGACCAGCCTTTCTTACTAGGGTTTACGACTCCACAGCCCAGCACCGTGAGAACACAGTCATAGGTGTTCAGTATATGTTTGAAAATGAATGAATGAATTAGAAAATTCACTACCAACTTCCTGCTAGCTATGGCACTCAGACTTCCGCTGTTGTGAATGGTCTTAGCAAGCTCTTATGCTCCCACACTCTACCGCAGGATCCCTTCCTAAGCATCAACCACATTTACCAGCTGTTTGCATGAAACATACATCATTTACCAATTTTCTTATTCTGTGTAATTATTCAGTGTAATTCCTATTTCTGTCTATATTATTATGTCTATAATATAATTTTAAGTCTACCACACTACAAATGTAATATTCAGAAGAGAAAAGTAGAATTTCTACTGTGTTCTCACCTTTGGAAATCAAATTACTGAAATGAAAATCAAGTAGCCAACTTCCATCAGTAAATAACTCAAAGAATGATTGGTTTTTCCTTCAGCTGCTGGAAGCTGACCAACACAAACAATCCACAACAACTTTATAATGTAGATAAACTTGCTCAGGAATAGTAAATATCATTTCAGTGTTTAAAAATGTTCTGGAATATTTCATTATCAACCATAACCATAACTTATCTCTTACGTTACTTTTCCATCCATAATATTTCTTATTCCTTTTTTAATCTCAAGAGTTCAAAACAGGAAACTTTTTGTTTTATATAACATACACGATGTCAGGCTGAAATGGTCTCTTAATTAATAAAAGCCATTCACTCCTCTGCCAGGCTGCAACATAATAAATATATATAAATATATTAGTAACCACACATATGTATTATATTGTCTCCTCCTTTGACCAACATTTTGGTAGCTTCTTTGATTCTGGATGGACTGACTATGGTGCTGAGATAAAAATTGAGGTTAATCCATGATTCATGCACACAGAGAGAAAAACAAACCTCTTACTCATTCCCAGAACTGCACCCTTAATTTCAAGACTCTGTGGATGACAACAAATTCACCTCACTGACAAAATGACAGCTTAAAGCAGATGTCTTGAGGCTAGACTTGCTCTGTCATGTGTTACTTAATAGATGATCTCTTTCAGAGGGAAACCTGTGCTCAAATGAATAGAGTTTTGCTGAGAATCTATATGTGATTTGTATTAAAGAGTGAGGGCTGGGAGAAAAGGAGAGGGGCAAGGAAGAGGGAGACAGAGAGAGTGAAGGAGAGGAACAGGGAGAGGGAGAGGAAATGGGAGAAGAAAAGAAGGAAGAAGTAAGAAACTAAAGTGGATAGAGAAAACAAAAATAAAGCAGTTGAAAAATGAAATCGCATCGAGACCATCCTGGCCAACATGGTGAAACCCCGTCTCTACTAAAAATATAAAAATTAGCTGGGCTTGGTGGCACACGCCTGTAGTCCCAGCTACTCAGGAGGCTAAGGCAGGAGAATTGCTTGAACCCTGGAGGCGGAGGTTGCAGTGAGCCAAGATCACACCACTGCACTCCAGCCTGGCACCTGGTGACAGAGAGAGACTCTGTCTCAAAAAAAAAAAAAAAAAAAAAAAATGAAATCGCTAATAATCTATCTATTCAGGGGTCTTAGAAACTTTATGCATTTCACCTATTTCAATGTAGTAAGTGGGAAATTTACCTTCCTTATGATTAGTCATAAATCAAACTGAGACATCTCTGCAACTTACTGAAGATACACAATAGTATAATTTTTAAAAATCATGTTACAGAGTACTTCAGTGTTCACAGAGTGTTTCATCTGCATTTTCTCACTTGATTCTCACAATGACCTCATTTTATTATCTACATTGACAGACAAGCCACTTAAATTTATAAGAAATACATTTCAGGCCGGGTGTGGTGGCTCACACCTGTAATCCAAGCATTTTGGAGGCCAAGGTGGGCGGATCACCTGAGGTCGGGAGTTCGAGAACAGCCTGACCAACATGGTGAAACTCTGTCTTAAAAAAAGAAAGAAAAGAATACATTTCAAAACAAGCATAAGCTGGGTCAAAATATATATTATTATTGGCTCAAAAATATACTTTAGAATTACCTTCTATTTAAGTTTTTGGAGCCGAGCTGATTCTATTTAGAACGACTATAAACCTAAAGAAGCCAAGAACAAATTCAATTTTCACTTTCTCCACCTGTTTATCTAAAAATAAATTACTATTCTTTTTTCTTTGCTTTCCTTTTTTTTTTCTTCTGGAAACAGATTTCACTCTGTTGCCCAGGCTGGAGTGCAGTGGCACCATCATGGCTCACTGCACCCTTGACCTCCTAGGCTCAAGCGATCCTCCAACCTCAGCCTCCCTAGTGCTGGGACTATAGGTACATGCCACCACACCTGGCTAATCTTCGTGTTTTTTGTAGAAATAGGGTTTTGCCATATTTCCCAGGCTGCTCTGTAACCCTTGGGCTCCAGCAGTCTGCCTGTCTTGGCTGGGATTACAGATATGAGCTACTATGCCCAGCTAGAAATTATTATTCTTGTGCCCTTACCAAAGACATATAAAATGTGATATGCCTTTAACAACTTTAAATGTGATGGTGGTGTTCATCAGATTTAACTTTGATGGTATACTCTGCCATTTAAAAACAAGATGCCAAAAATTGAATTAAAAAGATGTTACTTACAATAGCCTACTTACAAAATGTTACGTGAGGCATTAGTAGTCCACTAATACAATGTTCAGAAAATGCTACTCTTAAATATGCATTGGGAATGAAGTGGCACAATGAAAATCACATGTTACCCTCTTTTCAGACAAATATCACAAAGCATAATTGATTTGTTCTTCAGCTGCAAGATGTGGGTCAGCCTCTTTATTTACGGTGTGCGTGAAGTTGCTCAGGGATCGACAGTGGTAGCTCTGAAAATGACACAGATGTGTACAGCAGTACAGTAATCTTCTATTATAATCAATAATCATATCTTCTTGGATGATATATGATTTCCAAACTTGTGACCCTGTCTCCTCCCCCTGCCAAAAAAAACTCACGCTGTTTTTCCTCCCAGTCTTTTTTTGATGTCAGAAATAGCCTCAATATTTCTTAAATAAAATTCATTTGCAATCCTGATCTTTTCCTTTCCCACAAGCCACATCAATTCTATCTTTACTTCATACATGGAATCTACCCACTCCTCACCCTTACTCAGCCACTACCCTAAGCTAAGCCACCAACTGACTTGTCTCACGTGGATCATTTCAATCACTTCTTAACTGGTCTCCCTACCTCTACGTCTGCCCACCTAGAATTTGTTACTCACAAAGCAAGCCATTTTCAAAATGTAAATCAAATTGTATCACCTCCCTGCTTAAAAGTTTCCAGCAACTTTCCAACATACCTGGAATACGTTCCCAAATTCTTACCATGGCTTTCACAGTCCTACCAGATCTGTCTCCCGGCCTACTTCTCCCTTTCCTTGAGTACCACTGGACTCTCTCAGGCTTTCTTGTGAAGTAGGTACTCCAGGTAAACATCATATCTTCTTGTTTATTACCTTCATTACATCATCACAAAATGTTGTTTCTTTCTTTCTTTCTTTCTTTCTTTCTTTCTTTCTTTCTTTCTTTCTTTCTTTCTCTTCTTTTCTTTTCTTTTTTTTGAGATGGAGTCTCACTCTGTCACCCAGACTGGAGTGCAGTGGCACAATCTAGGCTCACGGCAACCTCCGCACCTCCCAGATTCAAATAATTCTCCTGCCTCAACCTCCCTAATAGCTGGGACTACAGGCACACGCCACCACGCCCGGCTAAGTTTTGTATTTTTAGTAAAGATGGGGTTTCACCATATTGGTCAGGCTGGTCTTTCACTCCTAACCTTATGATCCACCCACCTTGTCCTCCCAAAGTGCTGGGATTACAAGCGTGAGCCACTGAGCCCAGCCATGATGTTGTTTCTTTATTTGCGTTGCTTTCATTTCTTGATGGAAGGTGACATATCACCAGAGCCTAGTCTATAAAAGAGATTCTTCCCATGTCTATATAAGTTTCCTCTAAGTAGTCCGGTTTCCTCCCACATCCCAGAGATATGCACGTTGATTTGATTGATGTGTCTATTGTCCCAGTGTGAGCAAGTGTGGGTGTGTGTATGAGTGTGCCCTGCCATGGAATGGCATCCTGGCTGGTGAGTTCCCATCTCATGTCCTGAGCTACTGGGACAGCCTCCAGCCACCTATGACCCTGAAATGCAATAAGTAGGTAAATAATCTTACTTTTTAAAATTAATCTTTCCTAAATGTATGTATAGCTCACAATTTTCTCAATGTTTAATATTAGAAGTGTCTGGGGTCTTTGTTTAGAAGTTTGTGGTGGTTTTATGACCAGAAGTACGCCATAGGCACTTAACTCTTGTTTACATCAATTAGCTTATGGTAAAATTAGTTTCTTTACATGTCACTGTTCAAAGTTGTAGTTTCCAAGAACTTACTGATGATATTATGTGAGGACTAATTGTGCAATGTCTGTTCAATAACTAGATTAGTTAAATAATTA